AAGGAAAACTATTTGGGAGTGAATAGCTTTCCATTCCGAATTCAGAACAGGGAAAGTATGACAATAGCCAATGCCGGCCAACCCCATCTTATCCGTTACGGGGCTACGAATGGACTGAAAACTCATCAAAGCTCTTAAATAAAAAGTTCCCTTAAATGAATGTGTATCTAATAATGTGTAACTAATACAAATGCTTAGAGTTTTGATTTTTTTTTAGACTAAGGTCGAACTCTTGCCCTACCTTAATCTACACTAGCAACCCCGCAAGCTGATGCTATCATAATTTTCAGCAATGTCAAGAATGCTCACGAGCTTACGACATTCAGCCAGAAAACTACATCCGTAATACGCAGGCGAAGTTCAAACCTATGTGGACTACTCTACATTACCTTTTTAAATTAACTACTATCTAGCTTTTGTAGTGCTAAAATAATTATTAAAAGTTGTTATGACAGCTATCCATACAAAATAATCCGTTACAAAAACTTTGTCTAGATACATAATCTGTCAATAAATAATAACAAAATCACTGGATAGCTGTTGAAAATACAGTTTTAATTCACACGTTGCAGTAGCTCTGAAATTCTGTAAGTGTTGCTGATCGTTTGATATGTCTAGGCATCGAATTGAAAACATTTAAACCTTTAAAATAAAATGAATTTTGTGAAGCACAAATCAAGAAACACTTCCTCTTTCGATTAGATCACACAAATATCGAGGCAACAAACCGTTAACTACTTTAAAAATTACCATCAAAGTTAAATATACAATTCTTTGCATCACCGACACCGCTGAACAACCGCCGAGGAATCGACGTACTTGATTCCAAGCATTCTTCGGAACTAGTTCTGCTCAACGACAGCTCTAACACATTCACCAATGGACAAAGAGATACAGCCATCGACGTCTCATTTGGTAGCCACAACATCATGCACCGCCTCATATGGAACGTAAACGAATACCTTATGGCCTTCAAGCGGCCTCTGAAACGAGCCCACAAACTAGCACCAACCCGGGCCGTCGAGCCCTTCCCTGGTGTAGTTCAACCACCTGGGGAGGGTAAAATTTCCTGAACGGCATCAGTTCAAAGCATTCAACAATTGACATACGGGGACGGATCAACGCGATCAGCAGGAATTGGAGGAGTAAAGGCATGGCACTACAACACTCAGTAACTACCACCCGAGACCTGGTAGTCATTGTGGACATCCTCGGCAAGCATTTCACTGACCTCGCCGCCATCGCGAACTACAGCGAGCACTTCCGCCGAACTAAAACAGGATCAACACAATCACTCGCCAACATCACCATCCCTGAAGAACCTGAAATCAATCGGCCTTTTCGGCCAGCCGCCTCATAAAAAGCCAGGGGAAGTTCAGCAGGCCCAGACGAGGTAGGCTACCCGTCTTTCAAAACCTCTCCCCGGCAGGCAAACTAAAGCTACTTGAGCTATTCAACCAAATTTGCTCCGAAGACTTCATCCCTCATAGATGGACACATAGCCTCATAGTCCTCATCCCCAAACCAGGAAAACCTGGCAAGTAAGCAAATGACTACCAACCCATCTCTCTCACCTGTTGCGCCACTAAGTTTATCGATCAACAGGCGGCTCATGCACTTCTTCGAATCCAACAATCTTCTCGACCACCGTCAACATGCATTCCGGCCTGGGCACGGGGGATTCTCATACTTCAACTCACTCGGTCAAACCATACACGACGCCAACTCTTCTGATCAGCACATCGAACTAGCTACCTTACGCATTCAACTGGCGACCTGGGGCCTTCACGGACACATCCTTTACTTCCTAAGAAACTTTTTTCTTGGGCGGACCTTCCAGGTCATCCTGAGTAACCATCGATCAAGGGTCTTCCGGGAAGAAACGGGTGTCCCGCAGTGCTCCGTCATCACGGTCACCCTATTCCTTATCCGAATGAACAGAATGTTCAGCAACCTCCCAAAAGAATATACATGTTCGCGTATGTGGACGATATGTCATACTGTACCAGACGACAGTGCGCATCATAGGCATCTACTTTGATAGGAATTTATCCTTCTTGAAACACTTCGATGAGACAAAGGCCAGCTTCAGGATTAATACCTTGCCCACCTTGCAAGGCCAGCATCCAGACAGCAATCGGCTCACTCGACTCCATGTGGCCAAGGCCATTATAAACTCAAAGCTGACATACGGAATTGAAATCACATGTCCAGCTCAGGACCAACAAAATAAAATGCTAGCCTCCACATACAATCAGGCAATCAGGATATCGACCGGTCATCCACTTCCAGCATTGCTGCTTTCATCGAAAGCGACTCCCCACCTTTCGGAAGATTCATTGCGAACACGATCTGCCGTAGAGGAATCGACCTGAGCGACAAAATAACAGGCCAGGGAGGGTTCCTCTTGATGGAGGCCAACCAACTCCTGATAAAGTGGACCAACCAAGCGCTCTCTACAGTAAGCAGGATTCACTGGGTCAAGAACAAGTTCGAGGCCGGTTCCGACCCCCTAGCTGTCTCTCAATCAGCCCAGCTTCAAAATGAAAAATATAAACATCATACCATCCGAAGCTCTGATGGCTCAGTCACCCGGATGGGTGTTGGTATCGGTAATTAAATCATCATCGGTTGGTAATTAAACCGCAGCTAGTAGTCTGCTATAAGCTTCCGATCCAATGTTCCATCTTCTCGGTCGAAGCTACTGCAAGCTTTATTGCTGCAACAACCTCCTTCGGCAACTCGATCGCCGTGCTTACCGACTCGGCTAGTGTAGTGGAAGCCCTCGATCCAGACATCTTCAAACATCCGTGGATCCAACGCATCCAAAGATATGCCCCACCCGGTAATACCTTTTTTCGGATCCCGGGTCATTGCGGGGTACGTGCAACGTCCGGCTGGCAGGCCACGGCAAATACCGATACTGTACCTGCTGCTGACCTGAAAAAGTGGGACGACAAAGTTTTCAACAACTCGTGGGCGTCCACCAGGAATGACGCTAGAGAACCATTCATCCGGAAGGTTAAAGGAGATCGTCCAATGCGATGATCATAAAAACCATCGAATGCAGGTGAAACTCTGAAGATTGAGGAAGGGACACACCCGCATATCGCACAATTTCAAAGATATGCAAGGTATGCCAAGTACATCACTCCGTCGAACATGCCATCTAACACAGCCCTCAATACGAGGAAGCATCCGGGATGCCTTAGTGGATGACCCGGCCAAAACTGTGGCCCTCGAAGGTTTCCTCCGAGAGGCCGACCTCTTCGATGCAATTTTATCGAACTGAACATGACACTATTGCCGACAGTAGACCCCTACATGAAAACTGCTGTCGGTGGTTTCTATATAAAATCTGTAACGAAACACAAACCACGACAACTGCTACCTACAAGGATTACGAACCACACATTCAAAAATACCACGACCAGACAGAATCCGACAAACGCAACGAAAAGGTCATCCCAAGGTAAACGACCCGGCAATATCGACGAATATAAAACGACTGTAGACAGCATGGACAGCAAAGACAGTTTAGGACACTCCCTTCTGGAGGGCCACACAAACCTTGGGGAGGACCATCTGCAGTCCCCATATCACATGGGAAGTCAATTCCGGGCTCCCAAAACCACTTAAAAAACTCTGCAACTTGGGGAGTCCCCTTCTGGGGCATCCATAGATGAACAAGCCTACGGCTGAGAGTCTCTTAAATAAAGAAAACCAACCAAACCTTATCAGGTGAGTGTGACTATTGTCAGCAGCCTCTTTTTCTTCAGCAGCCTTTACATTTGAACTACGTGTTAAACAGCTGTTCTATTATCGGCAACTCGAAATCAGCCGCATTTTGTAGTGCACCTCTTTCATTTTAAGAAAAATATGACATAACGCAATTTCTCAGTCGTAGAACTGAAATCAGGTTGAAGCTGAAAGACTAAGGAGTAGTGTGAATACATTTAGCAAAGTGTTTTGATGGGAAAATATAGTGAAATTTTGATTGATGAAAACAGTCAATGGGTGCCAAAGTCAGCATTAACCTTATCTTCGAGCAGAAATTATTATTTAAAAAAATAATTGTGTTCATGACATTTAGAAGTTTTCCAAGCCGAAAGCCAGTGGGTTAAACATAACACTAAAAGCATGCTTTCTTAATCCAAATATTGTTCCGGTAGCTCCAAGTTGTCATACAGACCTCCAATATATTGAATCACATTTTACTACCGGATTCTGATATTCTCAGCTTTTCCAGCTACTAAACAATCTCATTGTTGATCCCGCTTATCCGCGGGATTCACAAGAATAAGGTATTTTCACCAGCTTTAAGTTCATCTGCTACCTACTGCCTTTTCTTCTGTCCAAGTCAAATGCAGTAAATTTAGAATAAGATGAAAATAAGATAATTTACTTTCACAATAATGTGGCCCAGATTTGTAAGTAGTCTGAAATTTAAGTGGAGTAAGTATGCTTCTCAATCGATTCCTCTTAATAAATCATTTATTGAATTTGAAGAAGAAATCTAAAGGCTTCTCTCTACCCTTCGAAATTATAAATAAACCATTCATATACAACATTCATTCCACATTTAGTATGTCTTCATTTAAATTATATCTTCCATGGCTCATCTGACTGCCCGATAAGGGTTGATGCATATATTATGTCACGCTCATAGGGGTCTAAGATTTTGTGACAAGCAATGCATTAGGTATAGGAAAAATTTCACGATAGGGGGGGAGGGGATAATTTTTTGCTCGATTTAGCGTGACATAATTAATGCATGGACCCTAATGATGATAGCCCTGTGATAGGCCTCATCCCAATGTTATTAATCTTGATTACGATGAAGAAGAAACGTCATCTCACTCTATCAATTTTTCGAACGACACTAAATCCACACCTAATTGAGCGCATTAGCCGAAGATGCTCACCCCGGTGTCGAATTGAATTGAAATCAACTCTAACCAAAAATTCCTTTTCCCCCATTCTCTGGGATCTATTTTCAGTGATAATCGTCTGCTCGTCAATCAACTCGCCCCAAACAATTAATGCAATCAATCAACTGAAAGCACTCCGCCGGACGAAGATTCTTCTCCTCGATCCGATAGGGACAATCTTCAACAGCAATAACGCCCTGTACCGGGGTATCGTCCGCGATGGAACACTGGCAGACGAGCAAACGAACCGCAACCTGCTGGTGCTGACAATCCTGACGGAACATTTCAAGCTCATCCTCCGCCGGATTCACGGGGTCGACCTGGGTGACTATCAGCAAATTAGCGAACGGTTGCTGAAAATTAGACTCGATGACGACGACGATGGCGACGCTGATGTTGATGACAATAGCTATGAGAATGACATTGTTGCAGGCGAAAGTGGATACCGAGAAGCGCTCGAAAGCCTAATTAATTCATCAAGCCTAACCTTATCCGGTTGCGATTTTAATTACTTTCTCGCCGATGCGAGCAATTCGGAAGAGCTGCGAGTGCTAGCCGCGAACCAATTACGCTGTCAAATCATTCTCGACAGCTATTGTGACTTGGACGATGATGTTGACACAAATTATCTCAATTTATCGACCACCCTTGGCAGTGGAACCAGCGGTGAGCTGACGAATGTCGGTGATGTGCGCAATCAAAGTGCAAGCGGTGGAATCGATCGGCGGAAAAGTGACGTTGAGCAATTTTGTACAATGCTGGGTGTCAATCATAAAAATTTGGTGCTAAAGGGAGAAGAGACTTCGCGTAGTTTTAACAAGTCACGTTCGGCTTCAAGTAGGAAATTAGTTTTTAGTGAAAATTTCTACCTGTACGACTACATCCTGGCCATAGCGCATGACCTGCGGTATGAACATCATCATCACTTTCATCAGTATCAGTTCGATTTCATAGTGTTTGATTTGAAGAATATTTCCAACCACCGGACTACGATAGTGTGGCGACCGTTTCTGATCCTCCGGCAGGATCAGCTTGATCGTCAAAAGTTCAGCATGCATCCGGTCCCTCCGGGATACAGGGATTGGATAATAGAGGCCACGATCGAATCGTTCTGGATATGCGGAATGCTGTGCTGGAGTGTGATTGCAATAGCGGTGTTGATAATCGTATCGATCATCTTTGCGAGTGTGGTGTTTAGCATCGCTGTGAGGTAAGTGGTGGACAGGTTTCTTTAACTGTTGAATGCTTTTTGGGAGAGAGTTCGGCAAAATTTCGTTTACCTTTAGTCAAAACTTTTATTACTATTTACGATGACAAAGTCATTCTAACCCGAGTAGACGAGAATATTTAATCAATATCAAGATTCATTATTAAAATTGAGGAACAGAGCATCAATAGTTTCTATGGTAAAATATCAACCAAATATAAAAAAAATCTATGGGACCATTACTGAGTAATATACAGGCCCGAGCAGGAACGAATATCTCGATACCTTAAATTGGTATGGATGAGCCTGACGTAAGAGGTGAAATACCAAAAAATAATACAATAAATAAAACATTTACCCACAATACTATTCCAATACCAAACTATGCAAATGCAATACCTAAAATATACCACACAGGTTTTCTTTTGGTATCCAAATATAAATATTAGTTATTTACAAAGTATATTGCATGCATTTTTTTGGTTTTATTCATGCTGATCAACACCACATTGTGTTATCATTTCAGAATTAGGTATTCTTTGGTTATTTTCTCCTGCTCGGGTGGTGTTAAGTGTGACTGCCTCTGACTACTGAACCTGGGTTCAATCCCAGTTGGTGCCATAGAGATTTTCTAAGGCATAAAATCTCTTATCACGTTCTTACCAGTTATTGGTTTCAATGGGATATGGGCTTCGATGGGAAATCCTTCATAGGAATGTTCATAGAAGTCCCTGTACTGTTGGGAGATGTCGATAAGTATTAACCTCAAATATTCCATCAGATCTGGACCTATGTACGGTTGACTTAGCACGATAATATAGGATTAATACGAACAGATCAATGCAATTACATTCCATTCGATTCCGTGAGTCTGACACAAAGCATAAACCCATCAACAACGATCCGTTCATTTTTCAGATGCATCTCTGTCATCATTCTTCTGTTGAACTAGTTTGCCTCAAGAGGACCCAATGTGATGGGTGGCCTACCGATCAGTTCTTTTAAGACCTTTGCTCAATTTTTAAAATTTAATTCGCTGTAAAGGGGGTTTTGATTGTGTCAACCATGGGGTTACCTCATGACGACGCTAATCAGCTTGCTGTTCGGGAAGAGTCCAAGGGCGTGCAGATGAGCAACAACAACCACAAGGTCCTACCTGCAGTAGAACTGCAGATGCAAAGCTTATCTGAATTGCAAACTATTTCCAAAGCATGACTGAACTGCAGTGGGGTGATGTTTGATGGTTTTCATTGGTGGTACATTATTGGTTTTTATTGGTAGTACATTACGGAAAGTACTACAGCTACATACGATCGTAAACCTGGTAAGCTTGAACGTGTGTAATTGGGTGGTGGTAGGAGATAGCAATGGGTGATCTTGGATCGAATCACAAAAGATCGATTATTTTGGTTCGATTAATCGTTTTTTTTTTAATCGATCTCAAACACGACAAAAATCGACTGGATCGATCCTTTTCATTCGATTTTTGTTTCGATCCAACAAAAAAAAATCAGTACATTTGCATTTGCAATTTAATATTGACCTGTGCCTGGAGTCTTCAGCTTACGCTCGGGTAGTTTAAATAGTGTCTGAGCAGATCACATCTGTCCCCCCACTAAAACTAACCGATGGCCTGTGGGATATTCATGACGAAACGGTAAAGAAAGTTATTAATCTACATCTACATTCACTTATTATGCCATATTTCAGGTTAATCAGTACTTTGTTATGTCAGAACTGGATCGCCATGGGAGCATATCGGCAGAATTACAAAATTTCTTGCTTCAGCCTGTTTTACCACGTTCTGTCGATCCTTTTCGAGCATGTTAGAAACACCGTAGTGTATATCCCCATGCTCGAGACTATTTATCAAGAATGGTAACAAGTGTTTTGTCAAAGAGGCTATTCATCCAAACTGGTGGAACCACACAGAATCGATATCGGCTCAATGCAAAACGCATGGCTCAATTAGCTTTCTAATTAAGTACTTACCTGATTTTACACTCCGACCATCTAATCGTTTTGTTTCATATGTTAATCCTTCATGCTTTAAATCGTTCATTTAATACCAATAAAACGAATTTTATAACCTGTTAAATCGCTTGCCTAATCAAGAATCATGAGCAAAAACTTCCACATGTCAAATGAAATCAAAATAGTAATTTACTATATTCTCACGTAGGCCATCCGTTAAAGAGTGCGATCCGCGGTATACGGTAAAGACCGTAAAGCATGGAGGTGGTAGCATCATGGTTTGGGGCTGTTTTTCTTGGTATGGAGTAGTTCCCATTTTCAGTATTAATTCCATCATGACCAGATTTCAATACAACGAAATCATGGAGGAGGTTATGCTCCCGTATGCAGAAGAGAACATGCCTCTTATATGGCATTTTCAGCAAGACAACGATCCGAAATACACTTCTAAGTATGTAAAGGAATAGTTTTGTGCAAACAAAGTGTCGGTTATTTCATGGCCTAGCCAATCTCCTGACATCAACCCCATCGAAAATTTATGGAACGAGGTTAAAAGAAAGTTATCTGGTCAAACATTTTCAAATAAGGATCAACTATGGACCACAGTTCAAAAAGAGTGGTATGCTATACCAAATGAAACTTGTCAGTGCTTGGTTGAGTCAATAACAAGAAGATTGAACAAGGCTCTTCTTAACAATGGAGGGCACAGCGGCTACTAAGCGTCATTAGTCTAATAAAACTGATACGATTATTTTCAAACTTCCTATACTAAAGTTTTATGCAACGCACGTATTTCACTGACCAGGCATATTTTATATTTGATTCTAATTAGTGAGTCATTTAATGTTTTAGTTTTGAGTTTTCTCGTGCAATTACTTAATTTTTATTACACTATCAAATGCTAAACTTTAAAGTCGAATAAAATGAAGTTGAATGAGCATAATTTAAAATTTCTTATTTATTTTACCTACACCTTTTTTAATGTCCAGCATGTCCAGATGTATGTTACACTCACAACATTTACTGCGTACGTCCTACACAATTTATTTCTAAAGGATATCAATAATCACACGAAATGACTATTAGAGGTGAAATTTCATAACAACACACTAAGATTTTGTATTCGTGTTCGGTAAATTTTACCGAAATCAGAACAGCTGAACGTTTGGTAAAACTTTGACCTGCATTTTATAAGCTATTGAATTTGAAAATAATATCAAAACATGTTCAACCTTGTTTAAATGATCAAATATGGTCATTTTAGCGGAGATTTAGTTTCAAAGTAGCTGAAAAGCAATTTAATTTAATTGCATAAATTTTACCATAAATTTAAGTTCAGCTGTTCAGATTTCGGTAAAAATTACCGAAGTCGGCGATAATTTCTAAGGGTGTATGTAAACTCTAGACTGAACTTGGCATAATTTGCATCAACTTTCCTATGATCCGTATTAGTTGAAACATGTTTGTGCCATTTTGAAAAATTATCCGATTCAAAAGATCGATTTAAAAAAATCGATTCAAAAGATTGATTAAATCGGTGAATCGATTATTTTCAAAAAAAAATATCGATTCACTAAGATCGATTCTTGCCCAAGATCACTCAATGCTAGTAGGAGACACCATAATCAGTGACACGATAGACCAGGGTGGTTTCTTCGAGGTCACGTACTTCTGAGTCGATCAGCTGAACTAGTTCGATAATATTGTTTCAAGGCTGCGATTGAACTTTCACCCGTTCGATTTATGGTTTTGATTGAGTCGGGAGCAATTAACAGACAGCTGGAGGAGTTTTGGTCCCTCATCAATCAGGTTACACCTTCCTTTCTGCACACATTTCTTTTAGATGGGTTGAATTTACCGTGTAGGTTAGATGGCTTCCAGTTCCTCTTCCACTGCCCATCAAAATCCATCAAAGATATTGAAAATGTAAAAACAACCACATAAGTCATTAGCACAGCTCTTCCCGAGCAGGAAAAAATAACTTATGAATGGCAAATTCAGGTATGAAAATAGCATAACTGGCAACCTAAATATGGTATTAGTAAGGCTGCCCGAACAGGAGAAAATAGCTAATCAATACCTCATTCTGATCTGATACCGAAATTTGGTATTGATCAGCATGACATAAGAGGTAAAATACCAATGAATAATACCAAAAAATTACATGGTAAATACTTTGTAAAGGGTGATACGGTCAAAATTTGGTCAAGGGAAAACGCGTGTAAATCGGTGAAATCGTTTATTTAAAAAATCAAATTAAATTTCTTTTTCAAGTTCAATTAGTATAAAATTCAGGAAAAATATTCAGTTAGGCTTCCGCTTTTCCAAATCCGAATTGCCGGGCCTTACGCTTGACCCCTGCCATCAGATTTTGTACAGCCACCTTGTCCACCTTCTTCGCCGCAGAAAGCCAGTTTGCCTTGAACTGCTGCTCGCCCTTAGCAGTTTTTTTGGTCTTCTTTAGGTTCCGCTTGACAATAGCCCAGTATTTCTCAATTGGGCGGAGCTCTGGCGTGTTGGGAGGGTTCTTGTCCTTGGGAACCACCTGCACGTTGTTGGCGGCGTACCACTCCATGGCCTTTTTACCGTAATGGCAAGATGCCAAATCCGGCCAAAACAGTACGGAACAACCGTGTTTCTTCAGGAGAGGCAGCAGACGTTTATTCAAACACTCTTTCACGTAAATTTCTTGGTTGACAGTCCCGGAAGCTATGAAAATGCTGCTTTTCAAGCCACAGGTACAGATGGCTTGCCAAACCAGATATTTCTTTGCGAACTTTGACAGTTTCATGTGCTTGAAAACATCTGCTACCTTTCCCCTTCCTTTTGCCGTATAAAACTCCTGTCCCGGAAGCTGCTTGTAGTCGGCTTTGACGTAGGTTTCGTCGTCCATTACCACGCAGTCAAACTTCGTCAGCATCGTCGTGTACAGCCTCCGGGATCGCGCTTTGGCCGTCGTATTTTGTTTATCATCGCGATTTGGAGTCACTACCTTCTTGTAAGTCGATAGTCCGGCTCGTTTTTTGGCT